GTGAAGAAATTTTGGCCAAAATGTTTTAGTTCAAATTAACCTATCAAATGCTTTCGTTAATCATTACCACGGGCACAAGATCATTAACAGATCAGATGATCAATTTAATATGCCAAAGTTTCTATTAATCCTAAAAAAGTGCAGAAGTTCATGGCTTGCTTAAACTGAAAGTAAATGATAATTCCATCCCCAGTTTGGGGTTTACAACTAGGAAAGCAGAAATAGACAGGAAATCCTAGCTTTAATCAGTGAAATCGAATTAAATCAAACTCCAATCATGAAAATGGATCAGTGACAAAGATATACCATGTGAGGAATGATCGCTTGCCCTCATCACCACCACCGCCGCCGCCTCCATTGCCGCCGCCGCCTCCTCCCCGTGCATTACCTTCGCCGGAGCCACCGTACCCACCGCCAGCGCTAGAACTTGCGTTGGAAACACCAGTGGCCCGGAAAAGATTAGACCCGGACTGAAAAGGGCCAAGATTTTTCAACGAGGGAGCCGATGAAGGGGTGAATAAAGCCGGTAAGGGAGATAATGGGCGGGTCGGGTAGCGCGGGCTACGTGGAATCCGATGAGTGTGGGTTGCAGAGAAATTGAGAGAAGGAGCGCGCGGTAAAGAAACATGGAAGCGTAAACCCAACAGATTTTTGCCGGTTAAAGCCCCGGCGGTTGAAGCCATGGAGAAGGTACGTTGATGGAGCTTCACTCCGATGGGAATGCTACGGAGCATAGGCGAAGGGGTCAAAACTCCAAACTATGAAAGATGTGTGACATGTAAGCAAAAATGTTCCGACCTGTTTTTGACCCGAAACCCGACCCGAAAACACTGGGTTTTGAACAAAAGTTTTGATGACCGAACCCGAAATAACCCGTTAAAAATGGGTCAAACCCGACGGAACCCGAACCCGACCTGACCGACCTGCTAAAGTAATAGTTTTTCAAAATCGTACATTTTAATACTCGTTTTTAATGTATAAATTTATATTTTCAGACAAAATTTTAATAATATTGCATAATTATCTTACTTTTTTCTAAAACTTAAGCATTTTTTAAATTCCTTATATTTATGTATATGTCAAACCATTTTCAGGATTTAAAATGGAATAATCTAATAGATTTAATACATATTTTTTGATATTTTATATTTATTTAATAGAAAATGTAAGAATTAATGTGAATTTAAAAATTTATAAAACCAAAGTCATAACCCGTTGGGTCGACCCGAACCCGATGACACTGGGTCATGAACATACAGTTCTCAACCCGAATCCGAATTGACCCGAACCCGAAATAACCCGAACTCGAAGTGACCGAACCCGAACCCGACCTGACTGACCGATTTGCTAGCTCTAGTGACATCTCAAAATATTAAATCTTTTTTAAAATAATAATTTCATGCTTACATTTTACAAAATAGGAGTTACAATACAAAAATATAATTAAAAAAATAATGTGAAATGATAATTATACTCTCAAACTATAACAATCTTTTAAAGATAAAGGGAGTAAAACATTTATTTTAAAACTTTTTCTATGTTTTATTCTTATTTTATGTGATTTTTTCTTTTTTGCCAAATATCAAAAAAGGGTACGCCAAGGATTTTGTAGTCCAATGATACCACTATGACTCTCCCAAATGAGAGGTTATGTATTCAATGGGAAATACTTGGTTCAGAAACTCAAATTATACAAACTTTACAAACTTACCATTTGTGAACTTCAATAAAGAAAACTAAATAGTCTAAAATAATTTTAAAATGAGAATTTAAACCATAAATAGTAAGTTTGTGGAGTTTGTAATCCTTCTGTTTGTGAACATAGCATTGCTCGTATTCAATCCCCAATGCCCACAGTGATTGTACGAGCTTAATAGGTAGAGGATGTATGAACAATTTTGATTTCAATTGACTTTAAAAATGTTATAACTAAAGGTCATCATTAGATACTCCTCTCGTCCCATATCTTTTTTCTCGTTGTGTAAAACAAAGAAAAACACATATTTTATCAATATATTGTATTTTAATATTGGTACATAATCAAAAAATAAAATTTACATATTTAAAAACTATATCAAAAGTTTAAAAAGCAAGTGGTGAAAAAAATATTTTATTTTATTATATAGGTCATGAAAAAATGTAAATGAATAAATATTCCCGTAAAGTTAAAATATTGATATGGAAAGAAAGATATAAGACCAAAGAAATATGGAGTAATATTTACCCGGAGTACAAAATTCTAAATCTAAGTTCTAACATTGTGTCCAAACGAGCCCGTCATGTTTAAAAAGAATGGTTGATTAATGGGGCGCCTCAGTCCGATAATTTTGTTGCCCCTGTCCAATTCCAAGCTAAGCCCAGCCCATTTTAATAAAGAAGCCTGTTTATCTATCTACTCGGCGGCAGCCAGTCAACCTTCAACTAAACAGCGGCTTCTCCGACCTCCAGCTCCTCCGCCTCCGGCACGCTCGGTTTGTTGCCGTTCGACGTCGCCGGCGCCGGCACCGTCCCCGGCGTCATTCCTCAGGTATCCTCTTCTCTCCTCAGGTCCCCTTCTCAGCCCCTCTCTCTCTCTCTCTTTCTTTCTCTTTGACTAAGTTTCTCCCTTTCACAATTTTTTTTGGGATGTGCGAATCTGTGGGCGACTGAGATTTCCTCTTGACCTCTTTTTTGTTATTTTGTGGGATGTTTTCGCTATTTTAAGTTGTGGGTTTCTTCCATTAATTTTATTTGTCATATTTTGTTTCTATTTTCTATGGAATGTGCTTCTCCTATTTAATTGTTTATTCTTCTGCTCTGTAAATCTTCAATTGTAGTATATGCTGAATGCAAGATTATGGGGTTTGGAAATTAATTCTATCAATTGTTTCTATTTTGTATGGTTCTAAAAATGTGAATTATGTGATGCAGCAACTATCTCTGTGTTTAACAAAATTGCTCTCAGTTGTCTTTTTTCTTTTTTTGCTTAAATGGCATTAATGTGGATTGTGGATTGAAATTGTTAAGTGAGACAAAGTTGAGAAAAGTGAAACATTTAAGAGATGCACTCTGAAAAATGTATTTTTATTTTTTTGGTTTAGAAAAGACTGAAATAGTTTATTGCTTTATTGTTGTCTTAGAAGAATGGAGAAGTTGTTGAAACAGAGAATTCTATCAACACCCGGTTCCAGACCATATTCGCATTCCCTTCCTAGAGAAATTGATTTGAGATTTTGAGTGGTCTTCTCTCGGATCCCTCAAAAAGAAAATGAATTACACATGTGGGTAGATGATTATAGACTGCATATAATACACAAACTTTGTGAGAACATATTTGGTCCCAAACTTATTTATCATTCTCACATTTGAGTAAATGATTTCGCTCGAACATAATTGGGGTAAAACTTGAGTTAGTGTAGCATGATGGTTCCTCAAAAGTAAGATGTGCGTCCTCACACAAAACGAAAAATAACTAACATAATTTCAATCATGTTACAATTCACTATTAAAATGCACACAACTTAACGTTAAAAGCCCAAAATTTTATATAGCATAAGAGGCGATGTAACCTTAAATCTCACAAAATAGAAAAATGACGCTTGGATGTATCTTCTCTCATATAATCCCAACTCAAAACTCTATGGTATTTCATTGTTCTTCCTGCTGCACGCAGCCGCTCAAGATCCTCACAGAGTCTGCCAAAAATTTCCATCCACCGCCAGACTGATCTGCTGTTCAGCTCAAGAAAATGGCAAATTCAAGGCCAGAGTTGCAAGCGCCGCCGGAGATTTTCTACAACGAAGATGAAGCGCGCAAATACACTTCATCTTCTCGTATCGTCGATATTCAGGTACTCATACATGTTCATCTTTAGCACAGTATTGTTATTCCGTATGTTCTTTTAGATTTTATTTTTTCTGATAAACAAAATACAGGCAAAACTTTCTGAGAGAGCTATGGAGCTTCTTGCTTTGCCTGACGATGGAGTCCCGAGGCTACTTATTGACATTGGTATGTTTTTTATTTCTCTAGTGTTTATTTGGATTTTGTATGCTAAATTTACTGAATAGAGTACTCAAATTGGTAAACTAAACCTAATATGAACTTTAATCTATATTACTTACAGTACTAAATATTTAGGTTCCAGTTTCATTGCTTTCCATTCAGAGCACGTAAGTTGTTTCAATCTATTTTGTAAATTTGGAACAACTATAAATGTGATTTACTGTTTTGTTACTTTTGTCTGCATATAACATAATGATTCCTTTACCATTTTTTCTTAATGTCTTTTCGGATTATTGGTTCATTGCTCTCTTATGCATTGTAAAATTCATTGGCATGAAGTGGTTAATATGCATACTTATTCAAAGTTGAGGTCTTTACTCTTGAGTCTTGACTGATTCAGTTAGTTATTTAATTTTTACCAAATTTCTTCACTGAATAAGAAGATGGTTTCCTTTGTCTCTTAAGGCTGCGGGTCAGGTCTAAGTGGAGAGACTATAACCGAGTCTGGACACCACTGGATAGGTTGGGATATATCCCAATCAATGCTAGGTAACTGATTTCAGAAAACTTATTTCAGTACAACTTTTAAGATTCAAGGTTCTAATTTTTTTACACATTTCTTCCCATGTTGAGTGTTTGTGTTTCTGTTCTCCAGATGTTGCCTTGGAGCGTGAAGTTGAGGGTGATTTAGTACTTGGGGACATGGGTCAGGTATCATATGATTCCCTGCATAGTTTTCTGAATCATATGCACGCTGATTTGTTCCCTTTGTTTAGTATGATGGATGTCTTGAAATGCATCAAGTTTTGATTAGTGGAACTTTTATGAATGACAAAGTGACCCTTTTGAATTTAACTTGTGGAGAAGTTGTCCATGTGTAGCCTTTCATTAGTGTGTCAAGAAGATCACACTTACTCAGACATTGATTTAATGGTGCAATGGCACAAGGCTCACTGAAACTGAGTGGCCATTTTTTAAGAATAAGCAGTGCACACACACACATTCATACAGTCTATATATAATTATTTAACAGATCATGTTCTATTTGTATACCACCTATAAAGTAAAAGGCACAAAATACCTTCATTGTACAATGTCTGAACTCTGAATTGTTTTAGGACTGGCCTTGGGCAAGAAATTTTCATTTCATTTCACCAAGCTCTAAACTTTAAGAGTACACCTCAATAGCATTTTCTTACTGTGTCAATTTCTATTAGCTGCTTTATTTATACATCCAGGACACATCTAACATCATACATTTTTTTATGCACTTCTTTTTGTCCTAAACTAGCAAAACAAAAAATTTCACTGCTAAGATTTAAACCTCCATTCCATCACTTGGCTTTAAGGGTTCTTGAGAACAATAAACGTTTGTGGTCATGTTTCTATGATATCATTTTATTATAATTTTTTTTTAAATTTAGTGTAAAGAAATATGCAATATTAATTGTTGTAGGGATTGGGAATTCGACCGGGAGTTGTTGATGGTGCAATAGGCATTTCATCTATTCAGGTTTGTTCATTTTGATATGCAGCGAATCTCTCTCTTTGATAGGCAATTCAGTATGTACACTATAGAGGAATATCAACATTTCTATCATGCACTAAATGTTAATAAATCAAGAAATGTTGATGGAAAGCTACTTTGTTAAAATAATTTTGAACTTTCCTCCAAACTCTTTCCAAAAATGATCTTAAAAAATTAATGCTCGTCCAATTATCTTTATTCGAAGATGTTTTCCCCACCTACTAGTTTATCACTTTATTACCCAATCTGTCCCAAAAAGAACTAGACATGTCAATTTATGATGCTTGATTGGAGTTATTTTCAATTCAATTTCTTTCAAGATTGGTGTGAAGTTGGAAACAAAAAACTTATATGTTTAGAAACGACATCAAAAGTTCAACGAAACAAGCGGTGGCTTGACTATATTATTTTACCAAATGATCTTTGAAAATATTTAGTGAAAGAAGATATGTTTTGACCTGTGAATAATAAGTGTAAGGATCTTTTGATATGGAGGGAGTATTACTTATCTGAATTTCTTCTATTTATTGAGTTATTTCATAGTAGTTGTAAAATTATAATGGGAATGCTTAGATGTCACCTTCTGTTATGGGAACCTTTGTAATTATTTTTAGAATTCCATCCATCATATATTTACTATTTTGTTAAAAGAAATTGAATATTGAAAGGCTACTTTCCACAGTCTATTTTGAGATCTGTATGACAACCAAATAACTTAACATCAGGACAATATTATTTGTTGCAATACTTATTTTGACATCTAATTCACCAACCAGTGGCTGTGCAATGCTGACAAGTCTTCTCATGATCCCCGGATAAGATTGAAGTAAGTTGCATTCCTTTTCTTTACCTTAGCAAAGACGCATCTATGCCATTTGAGCTAGTTCACAATGTCGTCATAATGATTTTGCAGGGCTTTCTTTGGATCATTGTATAGATGCTTGTCGAGAGGAGCTAGAGCAGTGTTTCAAGTGTACCCTGAAAATAATGCTCAAAGAGAGTTGATTCTTGCTTTTGCTATGCGAGCTGGCTTTGCTGGTGGTGTAGTTGTTGATTATCCACACAGGTAATAAGTGGTTTCTTCTGGATTTGTCTTGGTGAAATTATACCTCACATAAGGTTAACTGGTAAGCTGTTCTTTACCTATGTTTCATTCTCGTACCTGAACTAGATATAGTTTGAATATCTGCAAGCACCTTAGGGAAGAGGGTGATTAGAGAAGACTTGAGACTTCACGATCTTATTGAGCATATGAGATTAGATATGAACACTTAGTTAGCTAGGGTTATTGTAATTGGATAGAGACCTTTGGACCCTAGTGTGTAGCTTGGGTTTATGTGTTTTTTGTTCTTAGGGACTAGTTGCTTGTGTTGGTATTATGTGCCTTCACACATGACACACCCTCTCCATACACCACTCTTGTGGAATTTTACTTAGTTTTTTGTTTCTCAAACTTTTTTTTTTCAAAAAGTTGTTGTTAGGCCAAACAAGCTTTTATTGGAGATAGTTGTGTTCTGATTCGTAAAGATACAATTATACTATGGGTGTTTTGAAATTTTCACAGTACCAAAATGAGGAAAGAGTATTTAGTGCTCACTTGCGGTCCGCCATCTCTCAACAACTCCACTCCCAAAGGAAAGGGTGAGGATGGAGAGTGCTATTCCAGCGAAGAAGACGACAGTAGTGAAGACGATGAAAGCCAGACTGTGAGTCCATTCTAAATCTATCGGTTTTAAGACCAGTGACTACAAAAAAATTAGGGCCTCTTTAAGCAGGTTTGATATGATATGGTTTTAAAATCTGAAAGAAATGATATGAACATAAAAATGATTTGACATTAGAACCCATATCTCATGCGTTAACCAAACAGGCCCCCAAAGTATATGAAAAAAATTATTACTTCGTTAAAAGTCTTGACATTTTTGGTTTACTTATGCAGGTTTGTGTAGCAGATAGGCACCGGCCTAGAAAAAAGCAAAAGGTAAATAAGAGAGGCAAAGGAAGGGGATGGGTTCTTAAGAAGAAGGAACAACTGAGGAAGAAAGGGAGAGAAGTTCCCCCAGACACAAAATACACCGCACGAAAAAGAAAACACCGTTTTTGATCATCTTGTACGGTAATTTGTATACTGGAGTAGCATGTGTTTCATTTCTTTTTAACACTATTTATATGATGACAATTTTACGGCGCGGTTTGCCCTTTTTGTTGGTTTTATATTGTTCTTACTCTCTGAATCAAAATGCTCAAAATTGAAGATTACACTTTTCTGGTTTCTTACTTTTTCTGAAGTTTTTGGGTGGTAAATGCATTTAGGGTATGGTCCAGAATATGTATTTTGAGATTCCTTGAATAGACATTTTAGAATATTGTTCATAGAAAAAATGGAATTATTTTGTATATTTATCATTTTACTTTGAATTAAAATGATAAATGAAAAGTGAAATTTAAACATAAAGATTTACAACTAAATTGAGTCCAATTAATTTCTTATATGGGGAAGAAATCAAGGCTGATAGTTGATCATCTTCTTTATTTGAACCACTAGAAAACTTTCACCTATGATTCTTGATTCAACAACTGGCTAAAGATCAAATCTCATACAAATATAATAGACTCAAAACCTCTTCAAGCAAATAAATTCACTCACCCTTTCAAGTTTCAACATGATGAAAGTGTTTACTCTCCTTTTCCTCTCTTTGTCCTTGGCAAGCCACTCACATGGGCTACACCTCTTTAGGGCACACAAGGTGGCGGTTCGTCTGACAAACCGCCTAGGCCCTGGGAGAGAGCTGACCGTGCATTGTGGGTCCCACGATGATGATATCGGGTACAAGACCTTGGGAGACGAAAAAGATATTGAATGGAGTTTTCGCACTAATGTATGGGGGACCACATTGTTTTACTGTAATTTATGGTTCGGGAAAGCGGATCGGAAAACGTTTTATCGATTTGACGCTTACGATGATGTTCGGGATTCCTGGCGGTGTCGGAAGGAGTGTCGATGGATGATCACCCATCAAAGCACACTCGCAGGGTTGAATGAGGATACTGGCTTTTGGGAGCCCTTTGTTTTGAAAAAGATGAAACAATAACTCAGACCACCTTTTTAAAACGCACCCTATTATACATAGTACTACTACATGCTATTATGTTTTTGGTTGAGAAATTTTGGTATGAAAAAGAAAAAGATATTAAAAATAATTTTGTGTTTCGCGCAAAAAAATATTGGGAGATGGAAAAATGAAGAAAAATACGAAGTAACTAAGAGGGGATGTACTTTCTTCTAATGGGAGAAAACATTAAATTATGAAACAATTCCATAATGCAACATTTAGATGCCCCTATCTTTACTTTAGTCTAAGGAAGAAATAGAGAGATTAAAAAAATAGTAACTTTTATAAATAAGTATTTATATGATAATGTTTTTTTGATCTAAGAAAAAAATGACATGAGAATGATTTAGGTTAAGGAGGATCACACTTTGTTATCCCTTTTTTTTGTTATGTAAAATTGTTTGGTCCAATTTCTTTAACATGATCACATACACATTGCAATCTTGATTTTTTAAAGTTTTAGTTTACTACTATACCTAGATGCAAAAAAGAAATTGTTATGTCAAAAATCACACTTTGGAGCCTATTTGCTCAATTGGTGGAGCACTTGCGAGTTTTTCGCATAATATATGGGTTCAAATCTCGTGTAAGCTATAATATTTAAATACAATTGAAATATTTTTTTCTTTTGAATTTTGATTGAGAGATCTGACTATTTCCACTCAAATTCTTATGCATCTCCGGTCTTACATTTGGACTAAAGTAACACGAGTAATAGTTAGCATTATAGTATTTAAATAAACTTATTTTAACGAGAGAAATAGAGAGTGTAGAATAAAAAATTCATACACGTGTACTACGTTAAAACTTATTATATTATATTTAATGTTTTTTTGTAACTCGAAAAAAACTACTTGTATATTTCAAAAGAAAGAAATGGTATATTTATAATAATTTTATCATTGGTTTAAGATTTATTACAAAAATTCTCATTGAAACAAATTACATAGTACGTAGTACTCCGAAATAAACTACTCCGTAAAATAATTCATATTCTTAACTCTAAAAATTTTAAAATGTCACTAATCTGCAATTAAAATCTAATTTATCTCCTCTCAATGACCGTCTGATCAGATCTGAGAGGCCTTCGGTGATGATGTTCATCCTTATTTTTTTAAAAAAAAAGTAATTTAATTCTGGAGTATATAAGAAGGTTTATTTTTCTTAAATTGATTCATATATATATATATATATATATATATATATATATATAAGTAATTTTTTAATAAACGGAGTATAATTTTATTTTTTACTGATATACCGATTTAAAAGTAAAATAATTCTAAAAAATGAGATTTTTTTCTTAAACTCTAATTTGTAATCAAATGGGAGAGGGGATTTAAAAAAGAATATTTTTTCTTTTTTTTAGTTTATTCATTTGTTCCGGAGCTTTCTCTCACTGTTTCGCCCTTTTCTTCATCGTCTCCCCCTCGCTCGCACCTTCGTCTGCCGTGCGTGCAGACTCCTAGGGTTTTGCTCCCTCGCAGAAGTTCAAACTTCCGGCAAAATTTCCGGCAGGAATGTACAACGGGATCGGGCTACAGACAGCCAGGGGCTCCGGGACGAACGGCTACGTCCAGGCAAATAAATTCTTCGTGAGACCGAAGACCAACAAGGTTGTCGTGGATGCTGGAGGCAAGGGATTTGGGGAGAATCAGGGGATTGCTGGCGTGACCCGCAAGCCCAACAAGGAGATCCTGGAGCATAATCGCAAACGTCAAATCCAGCTAAAGCTCCTACTTCTGGAGGAGACGCTCTCCGAGCAGGGCTACACGGATGCTGAGATCTCCGAGAAATTGGAACAAACTAGGCAGACTTTAGAGGCGATTGATTCCGCATCCGGTGCTGTCGGATCATCTGCAAAGTAAGAATACTTTTCTTAATTATTTTCATTCGATTTATTACATGTGATAATTTGGGGAAAGAGATGAATGTTTTTTTTAACAGTGAAACCCTAGGATTACACACTGGGGGATGCAGTAACTAAATTAGGACTTGTATGTAGTAAATGGTTCATAAATATAAACTCCGTTCGTAAAAGATCTCTGAAACTTGACTGGTCATGGATAGAATTTAGAGGTTGCAAATGTTAAAAGATCTCTGGAACTGCATAAAAGAGACGGCAGTGGAGGGAGAATTATAAGGTTGAAGATATCTGGATCTGCATAAAAATGTTAAAAGTTAAATGTTAAACTGCAAAAAATGTTAAATTTTTACAGGCTGCATAAAAGATCTCTGAAACTTCTCACCAGTTAATATGATGGAGAAGTAGTTCCAACTGTTAAAACTAGTAAACAAATCCAGCTTATGTGGTTAACCGACTGAGTTTCTCGCAAGTTATGACGCTTTTCCACATTCAAAGTTGCCAGGAAATTATGAGCATACATGTCTACCACATGGGCCATGACTCTTAAGGCTCCTCAGATTATGTAACTCTGATTTTCCATTTTACATGTCTGAGGTTTGCATTTCGCTCTTAGGAAATGATTCATTGAACTGAATGTTTCAAAACCATTTGTGTTGGGCTAATAGTTGAGAGGAGGGAGGGACACTTCTCCACTTTGATCATAAATTCACTTCTTTGGGACTAAACTGCTCAATGTTTTAAACATAGGGGTAGACTCCTACGTGATTATCTATTGTGCTTGAGCCAGGGGTCTCTTTAGAAACAGCCTTTTACTTTTAAAGTAGGGGTAAGGTCTGCACACACACACTTTCCTCAGACCATATTTTGTGGGATTCAACTGAGTTGTTGTTCTTTGGAAGTAAAAAACTATGATATTACTCCATAGTTGTGAATGGCGAATGGCGAGGGGCGGGCGAGAGGTTCTTTTTTATGGCGAGAAGCGTGGCGAGCGGCGGGCGGTCAAATGGCGAACATTATATATATATATATATATATATATATATATATATATATATATATATATATATCTGTGTGTGTGTGTGTATATATAGTTTAAGTCTAAACTTTTAGTCTTAACTTTGTATCAAACATAATTATCAAAGTAAAACATGAGTTATTGGTAAAAGTTAAAATAAAAAACAAAAAAAGACAATGAGATAAGTAGAAAACAAAAAGTAGAAAATAGCGAAAATAAAGACAATAAATTATATCTATAAGAAATTAAGAATATAAAGACAATAAAGAAACAATAACCATTCAAAAAAAACAATAAGAAAAGTAGAAAACAAAAAAAAGTCTGGACTTTAATTGGGCCAGCTCTGAGTCTGCGAAGATGTGCGCTGTTCGGAATCGGGAGAGAGAGGAGCCGAGGAGGGGCTGCGCCGGCTGAGGAGAACTTGAGGAGGGCAGGAGGCTGCGTCGGCTGGGGAGTAATTCGATCGACGGCAAGAGGGCAGAGGCAGAGGCAGTTGAATCGATGAAGATCGATCGAGATATAGGTCAGCACGTTTATAAAAAAAGTCAAGGTTTTTAATTAAAAAACCCTTGACCTGCGTCTGGCGTAGATGGCGAACGTCTTTCGAATCAGAGTCTGGCGTCCATGGCGACCGCCATTGGCGAGAATGGCGTAAAACGCCTCGCCAGGTCTGACTTAGTAATCACATGGTCGCCACACAGCCATAGGCGAGAATGGCGAGCGCCATTCACAACTATGATTACTCCCTCGTGCTTGTTTCCCTTTTTGGCCCGGCCCAATTTATTGTGCCTTTTTTCATTTATCAAAAGTATTGTGTGATTCACATTTTTTTCTCTTCTCCGTGAATTTAACCACCCAGTTTTACTTGATCTCAAAGTGTGCCCAGTCAAACTGAATGAAGTGGAAAGTAGATGCATTTTATTCTATTCGATATTAACTGACAGCCTCTTCATCTTATATTTGAAATAGTTAACATAGAATATGCTGTTATGAAAATTTATCTTGAGGAATAACAGAGTTTAACTTATGTGTTCAGTGTATTGTATTAAGGGAATGATCTTGCGTATTTATTCAGCACATCATTCTGCAAACTTTGTATGTGAACTAACCTGGCTCATGATGGTTCAGGGTCTCTGAAACGCAAACACATGAAATTGCTGCTCAGAAGGAAAAGCAGATGGAGATATTGAAAGACGCGCTTAAGATAGGTGTTGAGGATAGACACAAAAGGGAGCCTGATCTTCGTGCTTTAGACACTGGATTGAATGATGATGAAGACAACAAGTCAAGAAGACATAAGCTTTATGAAGGAAAAAATAAAGGAAAGGGAAAAGATGAGACTAAGCATCATAAAAAGAAAACAAAGAAGGAAGACCCTGAAGATTCCACTGATAGTTATAGTGACGCAGATAGCGCTGAACAGGTCAAGAAACATAAAAAGAGCAGGAAAGGCCATGGCGAGACTGACTCTGATGGTTCAGATATTGGATATAAGAAGAGGTCCAAGAAATCAGGAAGGACTGAAGATTCCACTGATAGTGACAGCAGTGGAGGGAGAATTGTTAGGTTGAAGAAAAAGAGTAAGAGCAAGAAAGATCATAAAGAGAGTGATTCTGATGATTCTGATATTGAGTATAAGAGGAGGTCAAAGAAATCAACCAGGAAGCATGGAAAAGGCAGGAGGTATTCTGAGTCTGAACACAGTTCTCGTTCTTCCCCAGAGTCTTATTATGCGAATCGTAATGGTGATCAAGATAACATAAACCGTGGTAGGAATGAATTACAGTGTGAGAGTCGGGGAAGTGATCGGGATTTTTCAAGGTATGGACAGGATAGAAGAGAAAACATGAAGGATGATGAGAAACAGACAGGGAAACACATAAGAGACAATGGGGAAAAATTGAAAGAGAAGCCTGGAAGGGACCACGGTAAACTTGGTAGGGGGCATGAAGAGGAGATCCGTAACATTCGGCGTGAGGGGGATAGAGAACTTGAATCTTCCAAGAGAGAAAGATATGATGATTCACGCTCTACTTACAAAAAGGACGATTTTTCTAGATATGAACAGGACAGAAGAGAAAGCGTGAAGGATGATGAGAGACAGTCTAGGACCCATAAAAGAGATGATGGGGAAAAAATGAAAGAGAAGAATAAAAGGGACCGTGGACAGCTTGGTAGAGAGTATCAAGAGGAAAGTGATAGCAAACGGCACGAGGAAGAAAAAGAATATGGATCAACCAAGAGAGCAAGAAATGATGACTTGCGCCCTACTGGTGAGAAGGGCCTTTCTAGGTATGGACAGGATAAACAATTAAACATGAAGGGTGATGATAGACAGTCAAGGAAACACAAAAGAGATTATGATGATGAGGAGCTAGGCAGGGATTATGAAGGGGAGAGTGGTAGGAAACGGCATAAGGAAGATAGACAATATGAATCTACCAAGAGAGCAAGAAATGATGATTTACGCTCTACTGGTGACAAGGACCTTTTTAGGTATGGGCAAGATAGAAAAGAAAATATGAAGGATGATGATAGAAAGTCAAGGAAACAGAAAAGAGACGATGATGAGGAAAACAGGAAAGGGAAGATTGAAAATGTTGTAGACCATGGAAAGCATGGGAGGGAATACGGTGAGGATAGTGGTAGCACAAGACGTAAGGACGATAGAGATTATGAGTCTTCCAAGAGAAGAAAATTTGACGATTCGCGCTCTTCTGGAAGAAGAATCTACGATGATGACCGGAGGTCAAAGCATTGAAGATGGCATGTATCTCATCTTAGGAGGTATGCTCTCCTTTATATTATGATCCATTTCTTGCAATTTCTAACATTGGGAATATTGGTGCTTTGTTAAAATTTTAGTGGGCCTGTTTGGTTGACTAAAGATTGGTGCATAGTTTATGAGTCTGATCAACTAAGCTACCTATATAATTATCCATTCCTGTAATTGGGGAGTTTTGTTGATTAATATAGTCATAAGTTTCTGATTATTTGATGTAAGCATAAGATCAGAATCTTTTTCCTTAACTTGCATTGAAAATAATCTTGGCAATGCTGATTGGAAATTTGATTTGTTTGGGAATTTGGAAGTTAGTTAAACCAATAGTTAGAGAGAATCAGTTTTCATCTTATAAAATTTTAATATCTAAAGAAAGAATATATCTATAACCTTTAGTGGTTTAAATGTTTATACCCTAGCAAACCAAGGATCAAGCATTTACTGAGTATAGAGATGGTAATTGCAAGAGGGTTTGTTTTGGAATACTCCCTCCCTCGCTATTTTTTGTCCCTATTTTTTCTTAATTTGTGTCACCCGTGTCCTAAAAATAATGGGAGTAAATTTTGGCCATTGAGATTGTTTAAAAGCCTGCTGGCAACTGCTGAGATTATTGTGGTCAATTTTTCCTTGTATATGTTCTCTTTATTCCCACTTCCCAACTAATGGTATGCTCTTTTCGATTTAAATCTACTTACAGAAAGTTAGCTGAATTTGCTTTTGATAAGTGTTGAACTGAACTAAACATGAGTTGAACTGTTGAGCGAACACGCACCAAAGAATGATGTGGCTATGTTCATTCCAACTTCAATGGATTGCTAACAATTTTGCTTTTTTTTTTCAACACCAATAACTCTATTACAAGGTAGTATGAGTTTGTTCTCTTCTTCTCTTTAACGTATTCTTTTTGCTCAGATCAGGTCAGTAGATTAGATCAAAAATAGTTTTTAATATTATTACAATTAGATCAGAGCTTAATTGAATCAAATCAAAACCAATTAACTCGAAGAGAATATGATCTGTCCATACACTAATAACAATTTTGCTTATGGTTTTACAGGTGAGCACTGTTCATGTGTCACAAATGTCACCCAGAGATTAATGGCTACTGGCAGCAAAGCATTCTAAGGTGTGTGACCTTTGTGTGTTACCTCTAAATTTCCTCTTCTTGATGACTTGTTGCCCATGCATGAGAGAGATGGTGCTACCCATTATCACTCCCTCTTATCAGATAATTACTTTTCTCTTGTGTTTTTTTTGGACATAATGAATCTTGATTGGGGTACTTTGTGTTTGTGTATTAATCGAATGAACAAGTGTGTTTTTCGTATGTGATTAAACTGTGATACTTTTCGTATGTTGATCCAACGTTTTAGTATTTCTCTTTTAGTCAATTATAAATAGAGAAAAAGAAGCAAAAAAACAAAAAACTAAGATGATAGTCAATGCTGGAAACAAACCAATCATAAAAATAACGATAAAATGAGAAATACAAAGTTTTTAATTGATTCTGAAATATTATTCTATAATCGTCTATAATTTTTATCTCAAAAGAAGGGAATGATTGTTTTTTATAAACAGAAAGTAATATTTTGGATTTTTTTGTGTAATAGAGAATGCACACTATTTTTAAATTAAAAATTTCACCAACGGTAGTACAAAATTCAAAACTTAATTGATTTAAATTTAAATATTTTTTTTTGAAAGCTAATTTATTTAAATAGTGATATACCTAGTAAAATTTTAAATTATACCCTTGAGTATATAAATAAAGAGTACAATTTGCATATATAAAAACTAATTCTTAAAATCTAAAAAACAAGTAGTGGCATATTTATTTTATTTTATCAAATAATTAATGAAAATACATGTGCAAGAAAATTTTACCTGAGGCCTGTAGAAGTATACTTGAGGATGTTTTAAGGTGGAAGGAGCAAAATTTTAATAATGGTACTCTCTCCGTCCTATAAAAAAATATACTTATTCTATTTTCGCGAAAATTATAAAAGTGTGAAAATGTGAGAACATTGAAAAGTAGGTGGTTAAATTCTTTTTAAATGGGATCAAATTATGGGAGCCTATTATTGTTTTAATTTCATTGTCGTGTTCTTGTGAATTTTCGAATTACCAAACTTATACAATGAATCGGTACGCGCTACCACAATAGCCAATTAAAATCCCGTCAATGGTCTTCGGATCAAACTTCATTTCTTTTGGTGGTGGGGTGTTAGAATTTTTACAAGACACTAACATTTTCAGGTATTTATAGGGAGATTTCATATTATACCACAACTTATGAAAAGTCTTATCCAGTTTCTTTCAGGGTATTTTATATAACAAAAATTGCTAATTAAGATAGTCTCACCTTATATGTTTTGGCGCAGCCCCAAACTGAGACATCGCATTCATCATATCTTCGAAAGTGCCACATCATTTAAGTGATGTGTGAATAACAGAATTACTTGATACACAATTCCATGCTATGCACACAACTCGGCAAAGGAAGTCTCGTACTCCCCGCCTCTATCACTTATAATGAGTTTAATTTTATGATTCGGTTGATTTTCAACCTTAATCTTATAGTCTATATATTTCGTTGTATTGTTCACTTTAATTATTAATGTATTACATTCCTTTGCAATGCATTGTTTACATGAAAAATCTATCACTTTTAAAATAATTTTATATATAAATTAGCATAGAAATAAAAAATACAACTTACATACTCCCTCCGTCCCACTTACCTTTGGGTACATCATCCAATGCACTTTTTTAATCCATTTTATCTTGTAATTTGTATATTAAAAAATTATAAAAATTATATATTAATAATCTATATGTTAAAACGAATAAACAAGATCACACATGACTATTTTTAGGCTTACACATTAAGAGAATTTGATGAGTCAAAGTGCTTATATGAACAGTTCCAAAAGTTAAAACTAGACAAAGACAATGGAACGGATGTAGTATTTAATAAAAATTACATCAACAGTTATACAAAACTACTAGACATAGAATATTTTATTTTATCGAATAACCAATTAAAAACCCACACACAAACAAAAATGGTCAGAAGGGGACTCAGTAATTTCTGACCTTGAGTACCATCATTTTCTTCATAGAACGTTTTTTAAATACTTGTTTTGCCTTCAGCAACCTTCAAAATCTTATACTAATCCATCTCTAGCTTTCAGCAATTTTCAAAATGGAACTTAGTAATTTCTGACCTCGAGTTCCATCATTTTTCTTCAGCCTTCCACATTCAGAATCTTCTCTTCCTCCTCCTCCTCCGTGTTATCTATAACAGTCCTTTTTCTCTTCTTCACACGTCCATTCACCTCTTTGCAACTGGCATCCAGTTCCTGCATGGTCTTCCACAAACCTTCAACCTCATCTTTGTAACTAGCCACAAATTCGTGGATCCTCTTCTGCAAATTCCCAATCTCCTCTCTGTACTTTCTAACCTTCTCTTTCTGAATCTTCTTCCTCTTTTTCAAACGTTCAATCTCCTCTTTGCCGCTAGCTGTCACTCCCTGAATCATATTCTTCAAATGCTCAATCTCCTTTTCGTAATCTTGTTGTGTTTTCCTTACATCATAAATTACTTTCAGGGGAAAATTAACAGGAGATACTTCCTTAGCTAAGCGCCATGCCGCAACTGTCATGTCCGTATATTTAGACTGCAATAGAACCAAAAGTAATGCTTCGTGCCCATAGATAGAAACAAAAGTAAAGCGTAGTAAAATTTTAGAAGAGAATGGCAAGACCTGAGAGGAAGTCTGGTACAATTTCTGCTCAAAGCATTGCGCCGCTTTTTTGAGGTCCGCATTTGACGCATCATTGACTACTCGTGTTCCTAGCTTTAGATCTCGGAGGCATACGAAAACATCAAAGCTAAAGGGAAGAAAAATATGAGTTATCATATATAAATGGAAAAACAAATTGTTGTATGCCGGGAGGTGTGGTGTGGTGTGGTCCGACAGGTGAAACACATCCGAAAGGTGACATAAGGAATTCAAAAATTTAGCCACATTGGCTTCAAGCAGTTTAAGAGAAATGTTAAAAATTGTCACAATTTCGGCAAATATAACATACTGCTACACCAATTTGTACAGGGCAATAACGGCCCCCTTCTTTTCAAATATGATCCATTTAGACCATTCTGTATTTGCCCCTGATCGAGCATTGAATGTGTATTGACCTTATGAATGTATAAAGATTTGAGCTTGGTGTTATTATACGCCATATGTAATAATATGGGTGGTGATAAAAATGAAAATTGAACTCTTTAAACTTGAGCATGCTATGATAATATGCTATCATCATATTGAAGATGATTAAGTCTATTGATTTCATATTTGAAGACCGCCAGATAATAATGTACCATTGTCATTAACTAAGAAAAATAATGACAGTAACTAAAGTGGGATTAGGGATGGCAACGGGTCGGGTTCGGGTCGGATAGTACTATACCCGAACCCGACCCAACTTTTAAAACTGAAACCCGAACCCGACCCGAAACCCGACTTTTTAAGTCAAAAACCCGACCCGAACCGAACCCGACATTCCAACCCAAAACCCGAACCCGACTTTAAACCAATAATCAGTTCAATGTACCCCAATAATTTTAAAAAGATTAAATCTAATTTTTTTGTGTCTCATTTTTTTATTAAGGAATTATAAAAATGATTATAAATGGCATACTTGATATAGTAGCACTTTGTCAAGAGATTATACGGAGTGCTCATTATATCTATAGATAGGCTTTTATGTTATAAAATATTCGGGTTTGAGTCGGGTCGGGTAAAATAATAAACCCACACCCGACCCGACCCGACCCGATGTCGGGTTCGGGTAAAAAATTTCGGGTCGGGTTTGGATTATTTTATTCTCGGTTCGGGTTCGGATATTTTAGTGGTCGGTCGGGTCGGTTAAGCTCGGGTTCGGGTTGAATTGCCATCCCTAAGTGGGATTAACAAACGTTAAGGCCAATCATTGAACCATGTGGGATTACTTCTCTAAAAGCCAGTCTTAAGTCATGGGCAACTATATGTTGTCGTCTCTCGAGTAACTAATCTCCGTAGGTTAAAGATGTTAACTTGCAAGGACGAAGTACCTACTGCGAATGCCAAAACAAATGTTGTTTACAAAGAAGTTTTTCAGAACCTTTACACTCTTCAACCTTGTAGTTTAATACCAATATTCCTTACGTTTATTTTGTAATCCTTGAAATATATACATACGAATCAAATACTTTCATTAATATACGTCATTTTTTTCCTATTACGAAATCATTGTAACTATTACACTCGTCTAAATTACTAGTCGTGCAATGCACGGGTATGGATCTAGTGTTGTCAAAAGAATGGCAAAAGAAATTAAGCAGAGACAACGATGTTGTTAACAGATGCCAAAACTCCATATAAAGATAGAAATAAATAAATAAATAACAAAGGGTATTCTTACATCCGGTCTCGGACTAAAGTCCGAAATTCAGGAATTATTGCATCCGGACACCGAGAGGGATTTCCATAAGGCAGAGAAGACTGCTCCTTCAGAATATGATCCGGAACTGCAATTCAAAGTCAATTGAGGCCAAAATTTGACGGCAAATCGGAATCACAATTCAATTGAAATAGATTGCTAGAGTTGAGGCTATGGATACTTGGTTCCCCTAAAAATTCCATCGCTTTGCTCCAGATGTGACGCCTTTCAGGTGTGTATTCAACTGGAATTCAAAACAAATCGGATCAATCAGAATAAAAACGCAAATCGATTTACTTGCAAATTTCGTATACGACCTAACCTTGAGTTCTCCCAATACCATACCGAATAGAACCCGCCGGAGGTGTGAATATCTCATGACCATCCACCAACCTGACCGTCCTCCCCCCAAGCTCTTCCATACTAGGGTTCATTTTGCTTTCCAATAGCAGATGCAGATCGAACTTTTTGGGCTGGTTTTATTCTATAAAGAAAACGACCGACTAATTGAGTCACTCAAACAAAACTATACCTATCAAAAAAGTACTCGATCTGTTTTTGACATGAAACTCGGCCTAAAAATACTGATTTTTGAATAAAGGTTTTAATGACCGAACCCAAAGTTGATCGAACCCGAAATGATCCTCTAAAAATGGGTCGAACCTGACCGAACTCGAACCCGAACTAACCGACCCACTAAAGTGATAGTTTTTCAAAATTATGCATTTTACTACTCGTTTTTAAAGTATAAATTTATATTTTTTAGACAAAATTTTAATGATATTAAATAATTATATTACTTTTTTCTAAAACATAAGAATTTTTAAAATTCCTTATATTTATTTATATGTCTAAATTTTTTTAGGTTTTATGATAGAATAATCTAATTGATTTAAGGCATATTTTTGGATATTTTAAATTTATTTAATTGAAAATGTAAATGTTAATGTGAATTTAAAAAATTTATAAAATCAAATTCAAAACCCGTTGGGTCGACCCAAACCCAATGACACTCGCCATGAAGATAAAATTCTCAACTCAAACCCAAAATAATCCGAACTAGAAATGACCGAACCCGAACTCCACCTGACCAAAAGATTTGCCAGCTCTAAACAAAACAAACAACTATTGGTGGCGCTGTGTACGGGGTTTTCGAAATGGGTATCCTAGATTAACTCTTTTTTATTAAGGGCCCGTTTCGTTCAAGTTTGTTTTTCAATTTACTACTCAGTCTTACTCCGTATTAAAATCAAATGAGATCAAATTATATCATATTCAACTAATTAACCCCAACTAGATCAGATTCCTTTAAACTAGATCAGGTTCAATCAGACTTGAGTGACCGGTTGATCTGGCTCAAGGCCAATCATTTCTACTAAAGAGTCTGCCAGCGTCTGGCCTTTGGTTGTCAACCTAGGTTTGTACTCGATGTTGAATAGTGTCAACGTCATCGCCCATTTGATCTTGCCACATGATGTAGAATTCTTTAAGACCAAACCAATAGGCTGGTCTGTAAGGGTTTTAATTCCATAGTTTGAAAATACGATGCCAATGTTTTGGCTATGATAAAGGTGAGAATTAACAAACTATAAGTAAAACATATGTCATATCCTTAAAATATGAGTTCGAATTTAAACTATTTTAAATAGGAGTAATTAACATAATTAATAAAATAAAAAAATGCTCCTCACACGCACTTTTTTTAAAGATGCATACGACTATAATAAGGAGCACGATCATATACCCACTGCATGCGACTTTTTCCCAGTCATGTTTTTGAGTTTTTACAACAAACAACAATCCAATTGGATCCCACTACAGTAGGGTCTGGATGTTTTTGAGTTTTTTAATTTTTTTATTGGGTATAAAAAGTTAAAATAAAGATTTTAACTTAAATAATAAAACAAAAAAGTTCAAAACTAAAAGCATTCGGCCAATTTCACAACATTCTACAAACAGTGATGCCCATTGTCGCAATCGTCATTGACGGTGATGCCCACCGCCGCCACATACCTGCCACTATCACTTGAATCTCCACCACCGCCGTCCTCTGCTCTGCCGCACCGCTACAAACGAAATCTACCATTGACGCCTTTGATTTTTTGTCGTCACCACCGACGACACCATTGTTCTATACCATTATAATAACACTATCATCATAATCTGCATCATCGTCACCACAGTGTCACATTAACAGTTAATATAGTGTCAAAGAAAGACATAATAATGTCAAACATGACATCGTGTAATGTCATATACGACAATATATATAATACCATAGGTGTTCATATGTAATGCCACATATGCGCATATATAATGTCACAACGTTACAGTATGACGTAATGTCAAACCAAATCCAATGACATTGTGTAGTAGATACTTGAAATGTAAGAGTCTTCTACAGCTCACTAAAAGCATGCAACGAAAGTTTTATAGGTAGACCAATTAATCTTCATCGATGCTTCTCTTTACCTTTTTCATTATAGAAAAATGGCATATTTTACTGAAATAAATAAAAATCAAATCAAATTCAAAGCTTATCGAGTCTAAATTCTAAATATTTTAGCAAACTGTAAAGTGCACATGTGAAATAAACATACAACTAAACTTACATACATACATAGGCCTTCATCGTTCACATAGGCCTTCATCGTTCTTCTCAAGAATAGCTTGAACAACTTGTTGACCATGCACTGATATGTCGCTCCTGAGTTTTTTCAAACCAAAGGCCACTGCCTGGTAACCATAGGTCCTTTCTTCATTGGCCATATAGATTTGGTGATATCTATAAAAGGCATTCATGCAACTTGCACTCGGAAATTTCATCCACCATCAAATCCAAACTCGGGAGGAGATAGGAGTCCATCGTACATGTCTTGTTTAGGTTTGTATAATCAACATACATCCTCTAAGTGTCGCCTTTGGGAGCTAGTTCAATGTTGGCCAACCATTCAAGGTACTGCACCTCTCTACCGATTCCCAAAAGCTCTTGGATTTACTTTTTCACAAACTCTCTACGGTCGCTTGTAAGATAACTCTTCTTCTACATGACTGATCGAAAGCCTTCTAATGAGTCCATCGATGACTCTTCAAACCATGATGTTTGCATGTGTTCCTACCCGGTCATGGGCTTCGCACCTGGGTTGTACCAAATTACCTTGACCGGGTCATCTCGATACATAGTCTTCCCCGTTGCTACGTTGACTTGGCACCCACCCGTAGGGGTGGGCGCAGTTAATAATAATAATTTGTGGTACTATCAAAATCTATCATAGATTGCATTTATTTAAACGGTTCAGTATCTGTATGGGATGAATCCTCAAAATCATTCGATACCATTCGATTTTAAAATAGAACGGTACAATACCATACCATGTCATACTCAAATTGTGTCAAAAAATTAAACATGCATAACTCAAATAAAATTAAAACAAAAAAACAATTTTGTTAAAAAAAGCACAAATTTATTTATGATGAAATGATTTCAAATTTAAAAGGATTCTGAATAAAAAGAATAAAAAAATAGCGAGTCTTGCTAAGTCCGTAATAATCAGTTTTAAATTTTGTATCAGTCCTGTCGTATTTGTTATTGGTTTGATTTTAGTTTGGGATGGAAAAAATAAATCTCAATTAAAAATACTATAAATGGTTCGGTACCATCAAGATCTGGTATGGTACCAGGTTAGTTAGTTTGATTTTTTTTGCCCACCCTTACCCACATGGGTGGGTTGTAGTTGTGGAATACCCCCATCAACCTTCACATGAAAAAGGGTTATGGATACCCTAGAATGGGGTATCAAACCCAACGAAAAAGCGGCCCAACCCAGTCATGCTTAGGCCCACCTAGTTGGGTGAAAACAAAGGAAACTGAAGTCTCAAAAATGCCGCTACTGCGTCAAGTTACACTCGGCCCTGCCAGATATGTTCGGGGTCGAACCACCCATGGCCGGTCTCTTGTCAGGAGACTCCACGAGGCAGATCATGCGTACTCGGCCTCCGCTTGAGGTGCTAGTGGACCAAGCCCGTAAGCATGGGAGCTGCCTAATCAGTCAAATCAAGGGGCCCATGATTGGACCCCTACCACACCTCCATCAGAGTAGTTCTAGCCACCCTACTTGTAACCTACTTTGTATAGCTACCCTAGAAATAATGATGTGGTTAGGCACTGCCGATAAACAACCAAATTTTAGTGGGTTCGATCCGTTGGGCTCTAGACTAACGATCTGGAACCCCATCTGTAATTTGTATATAAATCCTTTCTTGAGAGAAAGGAAGACAAGCTCTCTGGCATACTAATACTTACAATCTTATTTGATTCCCAACTTAAGATCAGATAGGAATTTTAATACAACAACAACAACCCAGTTAAATCCCACAAGAGTAGGGTCTGGGGAGGGTGTGTGTACGCAGACCTTGCCCCTACTTGAAAGTAGAGAGGCTGTTTCCAAAGAGACCCCCGGCTCAACGTCGAAAGTTGCATTGCTTGACTAACTGCTACTTCATTGCTTGACTAACTGCTACTTGCATTGCTCTGTGGCATACTAATACTTACAATCTTATTTGATTCCCAACTTAAGATCAGATAGGAATTTTAATAGATGTTATTAAACAAGTTAAGAGGTGTGGAGTGCTTGCTCATTCAACGATTTTAGAAATTCCACAGCGGGGGTTTGAGGGCGGCAACCCCCAGTAGCGGGGTCCTAAGAGGGATCCAAGGCGCAGAGCCCCTGCTGAGTCGAGCTACCAGGTCCTTCGGATTTTTGTATTCGGAGTCTAAAATATGTAATTTTCGAATGTGTGAAATACGTACTCAAATAAGACTTAAAACAGTGAACTATTCGAATAAATGCACATTTATTTGAATAGTTCAGCACAAGCCTGGTTTTGGAGAACCCTAGCTATACAAACAAATTCCCATTTATTCGAATAGGTCAGCACATGCCTGATTTTTTAGAAACCCCCAACTAATCGGTTCGGGTTCGGATATTTTAGTGGTCGGTCGGGTCGGTTAAGCTCGGGTTCGGGTTGAATTGCCATCCCTAAGTGGGATTAACAAACGTTAAGGCCAATCATTGAACCATGTGGGATTACTTCTCTAAAAGCCAGTCTTAAGTCATGGGCAACTATATGTTGTCGTCTCTCGAGTAACTAATCCCCGTAGGTTAAAGATGTTAACTTGCAAGGACGAAGTACCTACTGCGAATGCCAAAACAAATGTTGTTTACAAAGAAGTTTTTCAGAACCTTTACACTCTTCAACCTTGTAGTTTAATACCAATATTCCTTACGTTTATTTTGTAATCCTTGAAATATATACATACGAATCAAATACTTTCATTAATATACGTCATTTTTTTCCTATTACGAAATCATTGTAACTATTACACTCGTCTAAATTACTAGTCGTGCAATGCACGGGTATGGATCTAGTGTTGTCAAAAGAATGGCAAAAGAAATTAAGCAGAGACAACGATGTTGTTAACAGATGCCAAAACTCCATATAAAGATAGAAATAAATAAATAAATAACAAAGGGTATTCTTACATCCGGTCTCGGACTAAAGTCCGAAATTCAGGAATTATTGCATCCGGACACCGAGAGGGATTTCCATAAGGCAGAGAAGACTGCTCCTTCAGAATATGATCCGGAACTGCAATTCAAAGTCAATTGAGGTCAAATTTTGACGGCAAATCGGAATCACAATTCAATTAAAATAGATTGCTAGAGTTGAGGCTATGGATACTTGGTTCCCCTAAAAATTCCATCGCTTTGCTCCAGATGTGACGCCTTTCAGGTGTGTATTCAACTGGAATTTAAAACAAATCGGATCAATCAGAATAAAAACGCAAATCGATTGACTTAGCAAATTTCGTATACGACCTAACCTTGAGTTCTCCCAATACCATACCGAACAGAACCCGCCGGAGGTGTGAATATCTCAAGACCATCCACCAACCTGACCGTCCTCTTCCCAGGCTCTTCCATGCTAGGGTTCATTTTGCTCTCCAATAGCAGATGCAGATCAAACTTATTGGGCCGGTTTTATTCTATAAACAAAACGACCTACTATTGAGTAGGAGGGTAAAGGAACCGAATCGAAGATATATTTGAATTTGTATTTGTTTAATTTTTCGAATCTGAATCCAAATCCGAATATGAGACGAATTCAAAATAAGATTTGAATAAATATTTTATTAATATTCGAATAGTTATCGAATCATAAACGAATATTTGAATAATCATACTATGTAATTTATATGATGGACCAACATCAATTTGTAATTTAACTTACGATATTCTTTATACTATACTATATTCCGCATATAAAAACATCAATATATTTGCATCTTACACAAATTATATTTTATAAAATATAACTATTAAAAGTCATATGCTTAGATTTTTGTGTTATGTTAAATTATTGAATTCTTAGTATTTTAAATACACTTTATACTATATTACTTTGCTTGACTTTTGATGTTAAAAACATGGTCTGTGTATATATACATATATTCGAATATTCGAATATCATCCGAATCGAATATATCCCTACTTGTATTTGTATTTGATTAACAGTCGAATCAAAAATAATATTTGAATTTGAATTTGTATTTGAATAACGCGAATTCGAATCATCATATTCGAATACGAATCGCGAATCAAATTTAAAATATTTGATTTGTTTACATCCCTACTATTGAGTCACCAAGGTGTTATAAAATTTGGTATATGGTATATCTAGATTTACCTAGAAATAGGTAGATCTCAGTAATACTCATCTTAAAATAAAGAAGTATTCATTTTTACATATTTGTCTAATAAAATTATAATAAATAATGTAGTATTCATTCTTAAAAAAACAATATTCATTCTCAAATAAGGAAATGTTCATTCTGAAATAAAGTATTGTTCAATTTTTTTAGAATTAAAAAGTTTAAAAACATCATTAACTTATGTGAAATTTGCACTAAATAAGACTAAAACATAATGACTTTCCTAATGTAGGACTTGAACTTTTTTATTCCCTAAATAGGAGTTAATAATGACCTAGTAGGAGGAATAACGCTCAGAAATGATGTACATTTAGTTGAATAATGACCACTTAATAATGACCAAAGATCCTAGAAATAAAAACATATAGTTCTATATTGGGAAAGTCATTATGTTTTAGTCCTATTTAGGTAAATTTATCTTAACTTATTCCTCTATTCGATTCGGTCTTATTCATTTATACTCTCTGAGCATGGAGAATTTAAAACTCATGTTTATTCATGTTTGTATTGAATAAAAATATGATAATTCTCATAAGTGTTGATACTTCTTCTCCAATTTGATGGTACTCATTGTCATATATAATAGTTCTCATATATGTTCTAGGCATTGAATAAAAAGTTTGCAAAATTTACAAAAATATCAGACTGTATCTAAAGAAAGGTACAGTTGGATGTACCATATAATTTGCCGATGTTATATGATAAATAGATTGTTTAGAATCAATGAATTTTATAAAATTAAATTCACACAGTGTTAAATAAATTTTACTCCCTCCATCTCTGAGTGTTTGTCCACTTTTATTTTTGCACACCATCCAATGCACTTTTTTAATCTATTTTATCTTGTAATGTGTATATTAAAAAATTATAAAAATTATATATTAATAATCTATATGTCAAGACGAATCAAACAAGATCACACATGACTATTTTTAGGCTTACACATTGAGAGAATTTGATGAGTCAAAGTGCTTAGATGAACAGTTCCAAAAGTCAAAAGTGGACAAACACTCAGACCAAGTACTCCCTCCGTCCGGAAATGTTTTTCCCGTGTTGACTTGGCATGTTTCCGGAAATGTTCTTCCCGTGTTGACTTGACATGCTTATTAAGGAATAGTAAAAAAATGCAAAATTTTCAAAAATACACATACTATAAACTTTTAAATCTCCTTTTATTATTAAAAAAGTACTAAAAAAATAGATTTGTGATAAAATAGAAGGGTACTATTGATATTTACCCTTAAAAAGCATACTAAAAAAGGAAATGGGAAGAATATTTCCGGACGGAGCAAAAAGGAAAATGGGAAGAATATTTCCGGACGGAGGGAGTAATATATTTTTATCAACGGAATTTATAGAATTCTTGTAAATTGTTTTTTTATCCATGGATTACTTATACATACATTTGAATTACTTTAAAAATCCTTACATTGTTCTATTATTACTTATGAAATTTAACAAAAACTTTAAAAATAATAAAATAAAAATAAATTATGTTTTCGAACATTAATATATTTTTAAACACTATTAAGAGCTATGTAAAAAAGGAGTTGTGGAATGATTAACATTTCCCCTTTTCACTGAATGGCCAATGTATGAAAGGAGAATTAGAAAACCCTCTAAATGGGAGTAAAACATACTCCCTCCGTCTCTGAGTGTTTGTCCACTTTCATTTTTGCACATCATTCAATGCACTTCTTTAATCCATTTTATCTTGTAATTTGTATGTTAAAAAATTATAAAAATTATATATTAATAATCTATATGTTAAGACGAATCAAACAAGATCACACATGACTTTTTTAGGCTTACACATTGAGAGAATTTGATGAGTCAAAGTGCTTAGATGAACAGTTTCAAAAGTCAAAAGTGGAAAAACACTCAGCGACGGACCAAATATGTCATATCATCAAAATAAGAGTTCAAACTTAAACTCCTCTAAGGGCCTGTTCTTTATGACTGTAAAAAAGAGCTAGATGTTGGAAAAACTGGAAGAAACTGAAAGAACTGGAAGAAACTGGAAAAAACTGGAAAGAACTGAAAAAAACTAGAAGGAACTCGAAGAAACTGGAAAAAAATAGGAAGAAACTGGAAAAAACTAGAAACCTAAAAAAACTTTAAAAATATTTATTTTAAATTCTTGTTGTTATAAATTATTATTATTATTATTATTATTATTATTATTATTATTATTATTATTATTATTATTATTATTATTACCATCATCAACATCATCATAATCACCATCATAATCATCAACATAATCATTATCATCATCATGTTATCTTAGTAAATTTCTTCAAGATATAAAAAAAGTATTGTTATTTTTTTAAATACAAAAAACTAGTTTTACAAAAAATAATTATAATATAAAGTTAGGTTAAATATAAAAATTTTAAATTTTAAAAAGACTGTGTAGTTATATTGCACCTCAATTTATTTAAACAGTATTTATTATAAATAATGAATTTGTAATTATAATTTATATATTAAAACATTTTATTTTAAATATCATACATGTCACATAATCAAACATATTTTTTCTTTCATTATTGACATTTTATTTTCATTGAATTTCTTTCTATGGAACTAAGACTATAACTTTTTTGTTTGCAATTTTTATGTTTTACTCATATTTTAGTCTTTTTTCTCTAAACTCTTTTGACTTACAATTTTTTTTATAAAAATTATAAAAATGCCATTTTTAAGTAATAAAGGGAAAACTGAGATTTCTTATAAAAAGTTATATTAATAAAATATTCAATGTAACTATATTATAAATAATTGTTTAGTATAATTTAACATATTGATGTTCATGTTTTCCTGTTTTATCATGTAGACTAATATACAAAAAAAATGTCTTATTCATATTAAAAAGTTGAAGAAAAATAATAATAAGTGTGAATCGTAAAAATAGTGAGATGAAAAAAATAATTTATAAACTACCGTTATGAATATAACAGTTGTAATAATAATAATAATCATCATCATCACATTGAAATATATCATTTTTAGAGTAATTGACTGGGAAGTAGAAAAATTTTGAAGAAAATGAAAAAAGTTGGAAGAAACTGGAAAAAATTGGAAGGAGTTGGAAGAAACTGGAAAGAACTAAATGAAATTGGAAGGAACTAGAAGAAACTGGAAGGAACTAGAAGAAACTGGAAGAAACTGGAAGGAACTGGAAACAACTGGAAGAAACTAGAAGTTAAAAGTTCAAGCTCTAAAGAACATGCGCTAAATAGGAGTAATTAATTAAGTAATAAAGAAAAAATAGTATTAAATATCTAATCAATCTCTTTTCTTTTCAGTCCATCTCCTCACGGTCATCCCATTCATCCCTTTTCTCCGAAAAATCGTATTTTCATTAGGCATTGTTTTTGTTTGATTTTTTCTTTTCATTTTTGTATTTGATTGTTTTTCCTTTTAATTTTTTTGTTTGATTGTTATCTTATTAGTTGTGTTTAAATTTTACTCTTAATTTCAGCAAAATTTGGTGATAGTAATAAGAAATTTGACATTATATGTTGGAAATCTTGATATATTATTTTCTTTTTTACATTTTATATAAACGGCATTATGCAATAACATGTTTGGCATCATGCAATCACAGGTTTGTCAATATGCATTATCATCTTTGACATTGTGACTTTGGTTGACATTGTATTAGAATTGAAAGCTTTCTCTATTGACAGTGACACAATGGCATTATGGTGGCGACAATGGTAGTAAATTCTGACATTCACAGCAAAAATGGGGACGATGGAGGCGTCATCCGCAACAAATGGGCAGGAGAGCGGTAGATCGTGGTGGCGATGTTAGTGGTAGCAACAATATAGATGGTGGCCGCATGTAATAGCGATGACAGCAAGAGATTGTGGCGATGAAGTGACGGAAACAACAATACCGACGATGACGGCAAGATTGACATCAGTGACATGTGCGGCAGTGGCTGTAGCTAATTTAGAATTTTTTTAATTGATAAAATATATTTAATTTCATTTTAATATGAATATAACTTCTATTTTGGTACATGGTCGATGTTTTACTTTTATTTCACTCCTTAACTCTAAGTCATTAGATTAATTAACTTAATTACTCTTATTTAAGGAAGTTTAGGTTTCAACTCTTATTTTGAAGACATGTCATATGTTTTATTACTAGGTCCTTCTCCCAAGGAGAATGGCATTGCAGCAAAAAAGAAGAAACCGTGAAAATCCAAATTAAAACCAAACCCAATTAATGGTGGACAGTATTTCACTTCAAACGATGATTGCAGATTAGGTACCCTAAAAGAAGGGACCCAGATTCACTACGGTGAATCTTTGGTTATCTTACACCGCCATTGCCTCGATATTGTCGTAGTAGACGCCGATTCATATACTTATTAGGGTTTTTGAATCGCTAAGCTTGCGGCGAGGATGTAGCAGAGGATTTTGTCGGCGACAGAGTAATCGAACTGTGTGAGAGTGGCCTCGTCAATGTAGAACCAGAGGATGC